CGTGGGAAAAAATACCAGATTTTGAAATCACCAGAACTGGGCACTCGTGATGCTGATGTAATTTTTTTGCGATAACTGTTAATGCTAGGTTCACACTGTCGTATGATTTGTTATGATTGCCACGATTGGCCATTTGTAGCTGATCGTGGAACTTCTCGGAAATTTCTAGTTTGGATATGAGGTGATGCGAGTCGATACGTTTTGATACGATTTGTTGCGCTTGGATGCGCTATTGTCATGATCTGATCTCCCGTTCATATACGATAACATACGTTGTGATAGAATTGACCCTATCGACTCCACGATTGGATCGTGATCTGACACGATCATCATGATCAGGGTCCCCGATTTGTGACGATGTGCTACGTGCAGGTATGTTCCGATATGTTCATCACGAACCGATAAAATCTGTTGTGATAGGATACGATTGTGGTTGCGATGTCTTTCACGATCATGATCGAGGTGATCACGATTTGAGCTATGATTGGACCACGACGGGTATATATATACAGCCCGACTGACCATGGACTTCACTGTTTCTTGAACAATACAACCCACAACCATGATTGATTCCAATCACCACGATTTGGATGCACAATTAGAAGCGATATGTTGCGCCTCGTTATGATTCAAAACGATGATGATTACGATTGACAATTAATCATGTTGATCGTAGAACATTTTTGAACCGTCCAAAATTTTTCTAAGATCAAAACGATTACCACGACTGACCTCAAGATCTGATAAGATCTGACAGGATCACCACGATTAGTCAACGATTAGGCCTACCTTTAGAATACAGCACCACAAACTTTAAAAATACGTCATAATACCCTTTTACGTTATGTAATGTGATTTTGTTCGAAAGCACGTTCTCGAAACAATGCCCTATGACGCCTGCATGGCAACACGGTGGTCTAGCTCAGCGAGTGCCTATAAGCTCCGCTCACTGGTGTTTCATGTCTACTAGCTATGTCATTGCATAAGCCCGACGATGTTGAGAGTTTCCAGTAGTTGTATACCGGTGGATGCGCAATTTTTTGCAAGCACCAGTTTGAAATATTTTTCTTCTTTCACTAATACGCTCATATTTATTTGTATTACGGGTGCTGAGGTGTTATGTTTTGTGTATTATTGTAAATTTTTTTTAGATTTTTCGAGAATACGTTACACCGGTCTATATTATATATATTCGATTATTTGCAATTTTGATCAATGTAATTATTTAAATTATGTAAATATATTTAAAATTTCGGTTTCTAAGTAACTATTAAGTCTAAATTATTTACCAATGTGAACTGACATACATATATATTTTTTTCATTCATTAATTTGCACCATTACATAGAAAAGTTTTTTATTAGTCTTTTATTTTTTGAAGCGGTAATAATGCATTACACTGGACACATCAGTCATGTTTGTGCCTGTTCGGTCAATGTATTTATTAGAAATATTTCAAGTGTTAGGTACGTTAGGGTTAGGGCTTAGGGCTGAGGGTTTAGGGTAAGACCTAATCCAATATAGTAGGTACATGTCCGGTGTAATACGTGAGTACCATTTGTTGTTTTTCATTTTGCATTTTAATACTGCCGATTTGGTCAATGCATTCTTTTTATTAGGATTATTTCAAGGGGTTAGGGTTAGGGTTAGGGTTAGGGCTGAGGATTTAGGGTTAGGGTTAGGGACCTAATCCAATATAATAATAATAATAATAAGTGTTCTTGTATAGCGCACAAATCAAACTGCAAGGCAATTTCTCTAGGCGCTAAAAGATAGAGTGATCTGAAGAAAGGATTAAAGTTCATAAGCTTGTTTAAAAAGGAAAGTTTTCAGTTGGGACTGGAAAGATTCCACGGACGCGGCTTGTCGGATGTGAAGAGGCAGTGAGTTCCAGAAAAGGGGAGCTGTGTAAGAGAACTGTCTATGTCCATATGACTTTAATCTGACCTTGGGGACATTCAACTGACAATTAGAACTTGATCTTAAACGCCGTGGTGGGACATATTCACTGAGGAGATCTTTCAGATAGATTGGAGCTTTGTCATGGAGGCACTTGAAAGCGAGAGTGAGGATTTTATATTCTATTCTCTGTTTCGTGGGCAGCCAATGTAAGCGTATCAGCAATGGTGTAATGTGACTGCGCTTGTTGAATATAGTAGGTACATGTCCGGTGTGAGTACCATTTGTTGTTTTTCCTTTTTGCATTTTAATACTTTTTTTTTGTCACACAAAAACGGGAAACCAAAAACGTCGAAAGTACGCTATGATACGGTTTAATGTAGAAATTTTGGGCTAATGGAAATTGGCCTGGAATTTGCACTCAAGCCTCTTTCACACGCAACATAAATTTTGTTCAGTAACGATTCGAAGGCTAACTCACCCTCGTGCCGTCACTACACTGTACACATGCTCATGTCTCCCTTGTTCCTTAGTGCGATCCACATTATCCTTACAGTGTTCCCTACATCACTTTTCTGTCACAAAATCACAGATTTATATAAAAGCGCGTCATTCATGCATGCACCATGAAATCTACGTCTGACGCCTGACGTCAACAACCCTATTGAGTTTGAGGCATATCGGCTCATTCCATGCCACACGTTATCTTGTTGATTACTGAATGGGACCACTGTGCCAAATGTCATCGGATCCATTCGGCAATTGTCTGTAGATTAAAATCACGAGACACCAAGTCTACCCGTAACCTTCGTAATTGTCCGTGACCTATTCGACTCTTTCCGTTCATTTACGTGACGTCACAGGAATGACTCGATAAATTTGCACATTGTGCAACAGTGTGGACGTACAGCGTCACGACAAAAGTATTCGCGATTTGGCAAATATGTCCGTTCGGCTTTGATAGAAACGTCTCGTATTTTGTCTCTTGCCTCACAAATACTGAACAGATTTTCATATTTGATACGTCGCTTGTGAGCTAGATAATACGATTAGTGCGCATGTGTAATGACGTCATATGTCGTCTGCTTGGAATGCAGAAATCGTCTGCTCTAAACAATGGGCTGAAAATCAAAGGAACTCAACATCAGTACGAAAGAACTAATTGTGGATTTGAAACGGAATGGAAAGAAAACTTCTGACATTGTGAAATTATTAGGTGTACCTGAATCAACAATTCGGTATGTTTGGAAAAAATATTTGAATCGTGGTAATGTTGAAAACAGCCGATGAAGTGGTAGGCGGAAAAAAGTGAGTATTCGTAGTGAACATGTTTTGTTGAGGAGTGTGCGCAAGAATAGATTTAACATTCTAAGAGATATTACCCATGATTATAAAGTTGGTCAACATCAACAAGTAAACAGTAGAACAAATCAAAGAGTTTTGCATCGGAATGGTGTTTTTCGTCGGGTTATTAGAAAGCGCCTTGTTGTGAAGGAAGTGAACAGAAGGAAACGACTTCACTGGTGTTTGGAAAGGAGCATTTGGACAGTCAAAAATCAGTGGAAACAGGTGATATTCAGTGATGAATCGCAGGTAGTTATTGGTCAGAAAGGAAGAGGTTTCGTTTGGAGAAGTGCGCATGAAGCCTATCGTCCCAAATGCATGATTCACTCGAAACAGGCCAGGTTATCAGTTATGATCTGGGGTTCTTTAACTTGGTACGGTGTTGGCACCTTGTGTCGTGTTAATGGTAATATTAATGCTGTCAAGTATCGTGAAATACTTGAAGACAACCTCTGGCCCGTTATAGCTCGGCACTTCAACAACAAACCATATCGGTTTCAAGATGACAATGCCCCAGTGCATCGGGCACGAATTATTCAGGAATACAAGTGTGACAATGCTGTAAATTGCATGACTTGGCCTGCACAGTCTCCCGATCTCAATATTATTGAAAATGTATGGCTACACATCAAAAGAACACTACAGCGACGATCACAAACTATCCTGACCACTGACGAACTGTATGACGCCATCCACGATGTCTGGACAAATATCACTCTACACTATGTTAGAAACTTATATGAATCAATTCCACGACGGATTATGGCCTGCATACGCTCCAAGGGGAACTTGACCAAGTACTGAGGTATGACATAATTCTTTTTTTGAAATATCGCTGTTTAAAGTTTTCATACGGTCTTGTGTTTACTTCAGCCATTATGAAAAGTCGTGAATACTTTTGTCATCACGCTGTAGCTCAGTCGGTTAGCTGTCGAGCTAACAATCCGAAGGTCCAAGTTCGCGTCCGACGTGTTCTCACAAACTGGTTGCTTGTCTTAATGACACGTGATCTACGGCAGAGATCGTCCTCACGAGAAGTTGTGGTGCTGTATTCTAAAGGTGCTCCCACGATTAACACCACAATTTCAGTCGTGGCTTGAATCGTGATAGTGTGAACATAGCATAAGCGCCGATAACTGTTCGGTAGCCAGTAGTGATAATTTATCTCAGATTTTACATTTTATTGACCAAGTTTGTTATCAGCTCGCTTTACTTTAATGGCATAACAGATGGCATGTAATACAATTTGATCTTCGCCAGCCAACTCACGCCGTTTTCATCTGCACTTTTTCAACTAATGTTCTACAAATTCTAGGACTGCTAACTTGATCCAACCTTAGAAACCCCCTTTTCCCGTATTTCCCCTGACCTGTTCACTGGCAAGCAAACAATCCAGTCGTGATTAGAATAAAGAATAAAGAAGTTGTATATCCATAAAAATAGTCCTCATTCTTAATCCAGTCGTCAACAACATGGAAATCAGACATTTCGTGCACTCACACAAGCCAAGTAATGTTTACGCCATACCTGTAAAGTTAGATTTCGCGGGACAAGCTTGCTGTCACCAGCTGATTGCAACTTCCTCACATACCGCTTCCGACTGGTCATGCTTCAATATAACGTTACAAGTTCTTGCAGTAATTACCATTGAAGCCAAGGTCTGTTGTTCCCAAACTTGATATTAGCTTCAGTGGTCAGCCACTTCACCGAACATCGGACCACGCGTTAGAGTATGACTACGAGTAAGGAAACGAACAAACTTCAATTTGCGGAACTTTTGAAACAACAAAAAGATGAGTTTCTACACGTAATGGCACCTACTAAGCTGCACATTATTTGGACAGAACTTTGTCATGGCATCCGCGTTGGTGCAGAAGAAGCTGACAAATGGTGGACGACTATTGTAAATAAATACACGGAAATACAGCGGCATTATCACACGCTTGACCACATAGCAGATATGTTTGTCTGCTACAACAACTGGAAACAACGATTAGGGAACTGTAGCGCAGTCGCATTAGCAATATTCTTCCACGAGTGAGTTGTCTTGGTCTTGTAACTAGTTAGAGAAATGCAGATAGATCTAAATATTATTGGCAAAGCTGATACAAATGTTTATCACTGACTAGGGATATAGATATTTGGTCAGTGTTATATTGTAGGTGCTTGCTCTATAGTATCTTCTACGAATACCACCTGTGGCGTTTAATTTAAGATTCCTGCTCATATATACATGTATTGTTGGAAGCAGAAAATATATGCGATCAGAATTACAGTACTTTTATCATGTTTATATAATGTTGTTTCTTCACATTTCTCTTTTCGACTTGAAGATACTTTCACTGAGGTTCAGGCTAAAACGTCACCACAGCAAAATGGCGCCTGCCGAAAACTGCACCATTTGGACATAACGGAACCTCGACTTGGCGAAAATGGCTACAAATCTTATGGCGAAAACGGCACCAACTAAAATCTTATCTAGTTTGTCATAGATAATTCTGATAAAACTGATTGCAGAATGTTTAGATACTAAATACGTTTACACTGCGGATAGTGATAGGAAAGGACATCCCATAGCCGATAGTCGGATTGCAGAATGTTTAGATACTAAATACGTTTACACTGCCGATAGTGATAGGAAAGGACATCCCATAGCCGATAGTCGGATAGTAGTAGACAGAGTGAGGCTTCTGGACCAGGGTAATCTAAAGCTTCATTTAATAGATAAAGCCTTAGTTGGACCCTTACCATTACCATATACTACAGAGATTTATTTCATAAAATAAGACTTTTTCAAGCAAAATGTCCCAATTCCCAAAGAAATGTATTCCCCAAGGGGAATTGTGTCTCTATCACACGAAACGGTGGGATACGAACCCCACCCGATATCTTACCTCTATGTCGTGTTGACGGGAGGTAATACTGTACCGTACGGTACGATCAATAATTCTTCTCTCACAAACCCCCTACCTGGCCCATCCATCAAGTAGTTCGTTTTATCTATGACACTATGTCACGTTGACCTCAACGAAACAGTTTAACGTAAATCGTCTGTTATATTTTTGGTGTTCGTTATAAACGCTTGTCGGGCTTTTTTCACCCCTTGTTCTATGTACTTTTTTTTCTCATCCTCACTTATAGCAGACTTACGAGACTTGGATCGAATATCTTGTTTCATTTTATCATATTTTGTGAGTTCGGAGAGGATCGAACGAAACTCCTCCTCCGAGATTTTGTTATCAGCGAGTGCCGCTGAAATACGGTCGTCTATCGTGTTTAACTTCGCTTCGGCCAGAACCCTGATCTCATCATGCTTCAATGCCTTACGATGTAGTCTACGGGATACAAATTTAAGCACCAAACCTAACACCCCTGTCACCCCAGCCGTTATTTCAATACCTAGAACTATAGGTACAGCCACGATGGTGGTTAATAACCCAACACCAGCCACCCCTAGGCCCATGCTGGTTGTCATAAGGGCAGTATCAGCCCCGTCCACGGCATTGAAAACCCTATGGTATTTCTTATATAGTGCTTTCCGCTTATCACGATCTTGTTCCAGTTGGCGTCTTACATCGCATAACTGCCTCAAACGAAACCCGTCTACGGTTTCCAGGGTCTTCACTACTTCATCTATGCCTGGATACAATCCCATCCTATAATATATATTACAAAAGATATTTTAATTGGGTTTCATTTAACAGTCGATCAACGTACTTGAGGCTTATAAGGTTTAAATCCTCATGTAGGAAAATAGATGAGAGTTTAATAGGTAACTTTACATCCACACGATCCCCATAGGAGGGGTTTATTGAGGAGGTTATAGAACCCGTTGAGGGGTCCGTTTGTATGATGATGGTGCAGTAACGTTCATTAACTTTCTGGGGATTCCAGTGTACTATCACCCCAGGTACAAGTTGTTGTTCTAGATTATTACTATTAACTCTAGTGATGTAGACTTCTATGATGAGTGTGGAGCCTGGTGACACAACTGGAATATTCCGTCGGGTTCTGTAGCATCTATACTGTAACTCACCCCCTAGGAATGATAGTAACATATTAGGTAAACCCGAGGTTATTATAATCGTTGTATTAGGTCCCGGGAACGAAACACCCGAGCGCGGTACCGCTATTCTTAATTTCATAGATATACCCATCTTCTTTTGATGTGATATAAGGTGAGGCGAGTGTTAAGTTGACTATCCATTTGGGCTCTTTAAAATCCGATAACGACACCCGCCTATACACGTTGTCTTTCAAGTGTAGGATGTATAAGGTGTCTTCCTCACCAGGTTGATCGAATCCCTCCGTATCCCCTAAATCGTTAATCGTAGTGTTGGGGTGAAGCCAAGACATTGCTATAATATTATTACGAGATAATTTCCAACTGGTTTTCTGATAATAGTTCAGGGGTGCACTTCACCCCCATAAAATGTATATTGTCGGGTAGGAAGATCTTGGTTAGTGATATAGTGTCTTCCACGACCACGGTGACACCCTGCAGACTGGTTTTGGAGTCGACACCCACCCGCACGTAAACGTTGCAAACGTGATACTGTTGTTGTTTCCCCCACCGGAGTTTGACCCCCTTCACGATCTCTACATCATCCCGCGATGGTTCCCCTAGGTAGACTTGGATGACCAGTGTTGAGTTCGCCGGTAGACTCTCCAGGATCCTGACCACACCTTCGAATTCAGACACCAACTGCAATACCACGTTTTGCATCCCCGCTTTACTCGATAGCATGTGGGCTGCCATACTGGCGAGTGGGCTGATGACTACGCTACGTCTCTGAGTCGGGATGTAAGCCACGAGCAGGGTTCCGTTGTTCACGACTTTGTTTAGGTGGTTGTCTTTGTTATCCGTAAACACGTAGGGGGAGCCGAGCCTAATATTGAGAAACCAGTCGACTTTACCCGGTAATAACACCCACTTGTCATCATCGGTGAAAACGAGCGTATATGGTTTGTTTCGGGCGACGGTAGTGCTCTCAACATCGGTTAAGTCGAACAGTTTGCCCCCGTATGGGTATATCATCCAGTTATCATCCCCGGTGGTGACAAGGGTGTACTTAGTGTTGACTACCGCTCTTGAGGTATCTACTATATCGCTTAGGTTGCTAGTACCACCGGAAACTTCAACGCGTTTGTAAATGCTGTTTTTAAGTTGCAAGGCGTACACTTTACCATCTACTCCGGGGTCGTCGAATCCGCGTGTGTCCCCGAGATCGGAGATCCCCACATTGGTGCATTTTTTCAACTTCATTCCGGGACCTTGTGCGCTGGTCATTTTATGTGCAGCGTTACGCTGAGGTATCCTATATTCACGAGATTATGATTTATATCTAACACCGATATTATCAGCTCAGGGATGTTGCCCTGGGTTAACCTCTTATATTGCCACGTTGAAAACGACTCGGTTCTGCCGTCGTTGTATTTCTCCGTTTTAACCGGCACTGCTCTAAGTATAGTTGAAGGGTGGCCTCCTTGAATATTGTCCGTTGTGCTAACCTGGTTGAGATGAATGCACAGCTCTCGGTACGGTACTAGGTCGGGTAACTTCGTGCCTGTGGCGGTAGTCGTTGGTTTTATCTCTTCAGGCTGTATACCGAGTGTTCTAGCCAATGGTCTACCTAGCCGCAAGGAGTTTCTTCCGTTGTTGATTAACACCACTGTACCGTTTGAGTCGTTCATCTTGAGTTCGGCTCCCAATGGTTTGAATACCTCGTCGCTTAGAGAGCACACGCTGTAGTAACCATCAATTATCTTGTTGCTAGCGCCACCTACGAACAGTTTATTGTTGCTAGCGTTGATGTTAGTCCATCGCGGTAGGTAGGTTATATCGCACAGTGCTATTTCGAGTTGACCCGACGTGTTATCGATCGCGTGCGTCAGCTGAACGGCCTCGCCGCTCGTTATTCCTGGAAGTGTTATGTACATGTTATATAAACTCATTATATAATAGTTTTAAAACATGAAGATCGTGGTCGCTGATGGATTGTATTTCGACGCCCAGTTCATAGATGTGTTCGATAAGTATAAGTTTTCGGTGACTAACGTTAAGACAGTGCACGCTTGGTTCAACAACCCGATGCAGTTCTGGCAGAATCAACTCAACTTCGCCGTGTGGTGCGCTACAACGGGGTGTGGTGTATCCGACACTCGGCGTGGACCGCTGAGTCAGTCTGTGTTCACGTTTCACGTGTACTACCAGGTCAGGCGTATCCTCAAAGAGATCAGCGCTCCACTCTCACAGGAAAAAGCGTGGAATGCAGTAAACAACCAGTACGATAGACGGGCCTACGAACGTATTTGCAACGAATTCGGAATCGACACTAAAACGGATTGGCGTTTGCCGGGACCGAACCACGGATTGGGTATTCCTATCGTTCACAACATGCCTCTCGTGGAAGCCAGCGAGAAGTTGAAAGAATGGGGTGGTGAAACGTATGCGAATGCTTACGTCACAACAAACGAGTGGGATGACCGTTACATGGCATTCGACGACAGCAAGGATTACCGAGTTTGGAGGTTCGAGCAGGGGGGTGATTGGAAAAAATTCATGTTGGAATCGAAAGGGTATACTCGTGCCGGCACCGAACGCTTGAATGACTCGATTCGAACGTACGTATGGGCACTGTTGGGTGCGCAGACGCAAACGCGTTCAAATATCCTAGGTAAGGGGACTGCTTACGACGCACAGAAACAGTTCGTTGTCAACGTAGAGGATGCTATCAATGCTCCAGTTGATCTACCGAGTGCCATCAAACGCTACCAAGACGTGTTGGAGTATGCCAGGTCGAAAGTCGACTACGTGTTCGACGTGGGACTGTACATGGCTCCGAGCGATATGCAACTGAGAATAAAGAAAGTGGTGGGCTACAACAACGAAATAATTGTAGCCACGGCGGACCAAAAGTTGGGCGTCAACCTAGATGTCAACATCCCACACGTCCCACCATCCACGACCGGTGAAATGGGTATAGTGGCGTCACCACCGGAGTCTAGGGTTCAACCAACACCACCTGTGGAGGTGG